AGCCGTCTAGCCCAGTGTCTGTCCCAGGGTGGAAAATAAGTATTTTTTGGTGACAGAAAGAAGGAAGGTGTTATAAAAGCAGAATCTGTTAAGCAGTAGGACCGCCCAACCTCAAAAATTAGGACTAATTGAGAAGAATGAACCAATGCCAGGTCCAATGCTTCCAAAGCGCCTTGCAGGACGCCTCTCACAGGAGAGGTGAAAAGTAAATATTTTGGTAGATTTATTCAAATTGTGGCTAGGAAAACCCTGTGGTTAGAGAACTTGCAGGGTAACTAGTAAGCCTTTGGTAACTGGCAGAGCATTTCCACATCACATGATTTTTTTCCCCAAATTATTTGAGAAAATTTGAAGAAATACCCTATGGTTTTGATACTTTTAAACATCCCCCGTGTTACTGCTTACCTAATAGCACATGTTTCTGCACTAACAATTTGAATGCCTAGCTTCAAGAAAGGGAATTTCAACCTCACTTTGTCCTAATTACAGCAAATGCCACGGCGGTGACATTCAAACAGTGAGCATTTACGAATATATCTGATTTCTCCTGAGGGCGAGAATGTCGGGGGCCTTTCTCACTCCAGACACCCACTTAGAGTGGTTTTGTCCCCGTAGCTTTGGTGCGTAAATGGAACTTCTGAGCTAGCGCCGCCTGGCTTCTTCCTTGGAGTGAAACAATGGAGGCACAGAAGGCAAAATCAATTCTGTAAACAGGAAGGGACTTCCAACTCCCTGTGAGGTGCTTGGGTAGGCCCTGCAAGGGGTAAGAGATGAATAAGCAGCACCACGGAGAAAAAATTATTGATAATTATGTTCAGAAATATCGTGTAACAAGGCAAGTAATGGAGACATGGGTTAGAGTTTTCTAGGCCACTGAGAAAAGTTCTGACAATTCTGTCCTAAGGTTTTTGAGGTTGAAAAAGATTTTCTAATATCTTATGTCTGAAATCAGTACCCTGATACATTGCTGGTATCACATATTACAGATAAATGAGTACGTTATCAAATGTTCATTTGTCTTTCAGATTTAACAATTATTACAATAAATCACAATACCTCCTTGAAAATGTTCATCTCAAAGAAACAATAAAAAAGAATAAAAAAACAATAAAAAATGCTGAGTTATGAAATCTATGCATCTGACAAAGATAGTGTTCAACTTTTCAGTTAATTTAATTATGGAAAGCTTAGAAGGAAACAAAACATTTAAAAATCAAAACTTCCAATTGTGTAACTATGAAAACATTTTGGACATTATCTATATTTAACAGCCTATGAATTGAACTCCCTGTCTGTGTAAAAAGAAGTTCAGAACAAATATCTACTCTTCATTTATCCTCTCACCCTCTCATCTGGGTAGATTTTATTTATGCATTAGACGACCTTTTTGGCCATTAGAACCATCTTGCTTCAGCAGTTAATTAACACAAGTACCATAATTTAATACAGTTAATGCTACTTGATGCCCTTTAATGTACCTTCCATTAGTGATATTATTGTAGTATTACCCTGTAAATTAAAATGAGATCAAGACTAAGAGAGCTACTCTTTAATTAAGGTACTGGCACACTACACTCGTCTATTATTCACTAGAGAAAATCACCCTGATTTACTGAAGTAGGACATCCATAAGTCAGAATTAGTCCATGAAGATTATTAGGTTTATTGAACAATGTAAGTACTACAGAGTCGCTGAGATTGCCAACAGCCATGTTTCCTCTTTTCCCTCCATTATCTTAATAAATACACAATGAGCGGGAGTAAATGGAAGCAAAATAAGTATGTGGCCAAAGAGGCATAAAATTCTTATGATGGGATTATAGTTTTTGTCACCGGTAAATAGGTATGAGGTGTGTCACATAGTAAAAAGAACATAAATGCTACATTAGTCTAATAACAATCAAAACATCACTTTCACACCAAACAAGAGTAGCCAGTGTGAAACATAAAGGCCGTATGCACACATGCACGAGAAGCTGAGAATTGGACTTCATTGTCAATTCAAAGATTCTCCACCTGTATTTGTTTCATAGCTGAAAAATCTTGTATTGCCTGCCCACTCTTTTATGGATATCTGCCCACTTTCCCCAAATAATTCATGCCAATTCCCACATTGTGGTGTGGGTGGTAGTAGAGTGAGAAGTCAAAAAGTATCATTATAATGATCAGATATAGACATGCGACCGTGTGTTAAATGTTGCAGTCATTTCAGCGACGGCAAAGAGAGGGTTGAGGGAGACGAAGGCCTGGTTATAATTTGGAAAGTTTCTATTGATGATGTCTTTGAAAAGGAACCCTTACAACTTTCTTTTGGACATCATCAATTAATAGTCTTTCTACAGATGATATGCTATATAAGAAAGTGACGACCTCGACCGCTAACCCTACTGAAGTTTCCAAGGGTAAGATGTACGTATCAGCTTCTGTTCTGAAAGGCCTGCATACCAGTAGCAGCTCAACCGCTCCCTTTTGACTCCATTTCCCTTATATAACTTAGAAGCTGGAGACACGCCTGAGCCATCAGGCCTTGCTTCCTTAGTCCCTCCCCTAAGATAAAAATACCCCGGCCATCTGGTGCCTAGCACGGTACACGCCAGCATCAGTTTTGTCCTGAGGAATTTGGACAGAATTTAGAGGCGACAGAGAGGGACCTGGAAGGAGCTCACCTCTACTGGACCTTTCTCTCTTGCCCAGCTGCTTCCTCACTAGCTTACGGTTGACTGGTGAACAGGAAAAGACAGCAGAGGTGAGTCCCAGAGAAGGGAGGACGGTTCCTGCAAACTCTCCAGAGCCCCTGAGATGCAGCTGGAGGATACTAGTAGGACCAGGGATAAAAGAAACATGGGAAATCTGGTGGGAGTCTACTTTTCTAACGTGCCACTTTTAAGGGACCCCCACAGGGAATGCATAAAAATGCCTGTGGCTTTAAAGTGTATTTATACTCTCTCTCTCTCTCTCTTTTTTTTTTAAATAATCAGGAGAAACAAAAATGAATGTGCAGAACAGAAATAAGCTCCAACAATGGTTACTTCCCAACCAAAAGCCTTCTTTACAGGTGGAAGATGATAGTGTTTGCACAAGTTGGACTCTAAGGATTTTGGATTAAAAATTTCTCAAACTGCAAGAAAACTGAATTAGGTGATTTTATCTAACAATGTAGATCACACTAGGATTCAAATTCAAACCTCAGCTTATGAATTTTGACACTTATTCTTGTAGAGGAAGAGAATACTTGTTACTTTGTTGTAGAATGCTACTGTTAATAATATCAACATCAATTATTTTTATATTTTATAGTCCCCAAGAATAAGAACTGGAAACTGATGACCTCTTGCAAAAATGTTTACGAGTATAATGGCTACATTTTACTATAAATAGCCAATTCATATTTCAGGCCACAGTTCCAGATTGCCCTCTCGTGGTGCCCTGCTAATACGTGAACTTTCCTCTACACCCTGGAACCCACAAGCTCAGTGTTTATCAGTGCCTATTTCTCTCAGAAATATTATTTTGCTTTCAAGGTATCTTCATCATATGTCACCAAGACCTTAGTTAACAATTTTTAAAGAGGCTCCACTGCTTAAGACTCCTGACTCTTCCAGGAGGAACACGAAGCTGGAACAAAGCTGAGGGGAGGTGGCCACCAGTTCCTGCTTCTTCCCACAGTTTAGAATCTGAAACCTCTACTACCACACTGAAGTCATGCTCACCACTCCATTCTGTGTGCCCATTATAATCTTTACCTTAACATCAGTGACCTCTCCTTCCTTCTAGTGTACAAATAAAACAACACTATTATCAAAAGATAGGTTGAGTCAATTTTCGGAAAGACCAGGGAGTCTCAACCCTTCTCCAATTTCTGAGGACTGGGCTGTCCTAAGGGATGCTGGAGCCTGCTGTGTTTGTTTAAATTTTAGGACTGCTTAATGAAACCTACATGATCTATGGGCCATTTATATTCTTAACCTCATATATTCTGACATGAAGCTCTCTGCATTTTTAGAATGACTGTTGCTTTGCTTTCTCTTTTTTCCATTTTGCTGTATACCCCACTCATCTTTAGTTTTCCCGACTAATTACCTCACTATAAAGGGACTATAAAATATAAAAATAATTGATGTTGATATTATAACATTATTATCCAAATAAGGATACCAACCATACCACAGTTAGAAATCTGGTTGAACAGCTCTACCTTAGTGGTCCTGGTTCTTACGACTTGAGTTTTTCATTAAAGCATCCTCAAAATTCTTGGAAACTTGCTCAAGTGTGTCTCTGATGTATTATCAAAACCAAAGACATGCCTGACAGTGACCGCTAATGGGTTTAAACTCTGGTCCACCTGTAATTGACCCCCCAAAATGAAGGGAGCCTGCCTCAGGTCCATATTTAAGTGGCAGCATATCTTTTTAAGGCAATAACCATAGAAAGCCTGAAAAGCAGAGCTCACTCCTTTTTTAACAAATGCATTGTGCTTCCTAAACACTTTTGGTTCTGATTTAATAAATTTAAAGGGATATAATTTACAGTTCAGGAACTTTTTTTGGTGCAACACAATAAAACATAAACAGAGAGGTGTACCATGTTGAAACGCTGTCTGGCATTTGAAAACAACGGAAAGACCTATTTCTTGTTTCCCCGTATCTTTTATGGAGCAGCTGACTTTGTCCCCCCTGGCTTCATTGCCTTAAAGATTTAAACTGCCCCCTGATCTAGGGAGTTCCTTGGGCTCAAATAAGATGCTACTTCCCCCGCCCCCCTTTCTGTTTAAAGTCTAAGAAATCCTGCCAAGTTCAGGTTCACTGACAGTGAGTCTGGGATCACAAATTACTGCTGAGTAAGAAGGGTCTCAAATTTCTCCAAACCTAGCTCTAGACTGGTGTTCCTGAGGAAATGTTGTAGTAGAAAGTGTCACATGTCACTCTACCGCTGTGGGACCAACACACTGGCATTTTCTTCGAACAACCGTTCTCATTCAAGTCAGACAGATGCTTTCTTACCTTCCGTGCACCTTTATGTCTGAGATCGCATAAAAGTAGCGTGCCAAGTGTAGCTCATCTACAAATATTTCCCCAACCGCTGGTCTCAAAAGCCTTATCCTCAGGTCTGTGACTGTAAAGAAATCTCTGAGTTTCTTGGTTGTATCCAGCTGTCCATAGAGAGAAGCCATATTGCGTAGCCATGGTCCAGCAAAAAACGCAAACCTGTCTTTGATTTCAAAGTGGATTATTTTGCTATTTGTCATATATCCTGTAGAGTACTCTTCAGTGCAAATGATTTCTAAGACCGTATGCTGTGATAAATCCTTCACGGACTTGGGATCCATGTGAAAAGCATCTAAGCAGTCTGTGGCGTAATACTGATAGGGCTGCCATGTTCGTCCATAATCGAGAGATTTCTCCAGGATCATTTGGTCCGGACGCCCCGATTCAAAGGTAATAACTATGTTGTCTGTGAGCTCAATGGTTTTGCTCCAAGACAGAGTGATGTTAACCTGGAGAGGCTTGGGATAGTCCTTCCAAGTAGCAGACTGCCAAAATGTGGAGGGATGTCTTCCTTCAAAATCAAACATCAGCTCAGGGGGATGCGCCAGCTCAGGGGTACTTGCATCACACTCATTATTGCACATGTAGGGGTTGCCCTATGGAAGAAGAACAGAAGAGGGTGCATCAAAAAACTGGTTTGACACAAGTCTTGCTATATTGCTGTTGTTGCGTAAAAGGCTAGGAAGGAAAGAAAGGGTGGGGGGAACCCTGTTTGCAGTAATCATTCTTATTTGCCCTAACTGGATTCTCCTCTTTAATAGCTTTAAAAAAATGAGGCAATATGGTAATTTTCTTGTCTGGTTTCCTTCCATGGGCTTTAAGAAATGAAAACAGTTTATTTATCCCATATGTGTTAGACCCATAATGTGGTCCCAGAAGCACAAAGACACTGAGCAACTGTCTAATAGCTCAATACCTCTGTGTCCTCTTAGAAAGATGCTATAGAAAAGCAAGGAAATTCCTCCATGCCTCAAGGACGTTCCTCAGGAGCACAGTTCTTTAAAAAGTCATTTTTCAAGCAAACCTTTAGAATTAGCAATGAGCCGTAGATATCTGCGCCCTGTTAGGAAACAATACCCGCATACAATATTCAGCTTCTTGCTTTGCCTCAAATCCATCATATTTAACTAGGTCCCTGCTTCATAAAGCCTGCTCTTAAAGCATTTACTTTGTTCACCACAAATCATTAAAATGTGGTATTCTACAGGCTCTGGGGCTTGGTCCAAACATCTGCCATCCTATTAGCTAGAGGCAAGGGGATTGCATGGGAAAGACTTGGGACAGGGGCCTGCTCCAAGTTGTGAGGACAGGAAAATCCAGTACTTAATAAGTTAAGTATGAGCCACAGCTACTTGATGTGTTACTTTGTGCCGGCCCAGAGTCAGCTGTCCATGGATGTTAGCCATTACTAGTATTTCCTCCTGACAAAGGCTATCTCCTCCACCGTCCACTCAAACAAGAAGCTGGGAATAAATCTTGTATCACAACAAGTTATAACACCACTTATGCTAGACCTAATAGCTGCTTTCAGGTTTCATCAGATGATTCCATGGCAAAGAGCTGGCTCCCTGATTTTTGTTTATTTTGTGTTTAAGAAAAAAATGGTATCATTTGGAGTCAACTATTCAGGCATTTCTCCCTAATCCTCCACTGGGTAATTATAAGCATGGATGGGTGAAAGAATCGACCCTCTGACATTGTCCTTAGGCTTTCTCTTGTAATTTACAATTAGATTTTTTTTTTCTTTTTCATGAACTGAGAGCTTTTCATCATACCTGCAGGATGCATGAGCTGGGTCTCAAATAATGAATTTACACTTTAGACCTCGATGCTCAGTTACCAGCTGACTCCTGTGAAATGTAAGATGAACACGGGAGAATTGGTTTGGCCTCCCTAGAGGCAATTTCTCCTACCTAGTCAGCTAATACTTTCACTCTCTCTTTCCCATTAGTGCAACTGAATCCTAAAGCTGGCAACAGGTTTGGGGGACTCAAGTATAATTGAGATGGGGTAGGAGAAAGGAGAGAAGGTACATTACTTGAGGAACAGAACTGTTTTAAAAATACATTCAAGGCATCAGTGATAATGGAAATGTTTCTGTACTTCTCTCTCGAATTTCAATTCCCTATTCCTGATCCCAGCGTCTGTGGCACTATTTATAGTATCCCCTTCAAAACGAGCCAAGGGGGGAAAATAAGTTTCTGTTCCAGGTGGAATATATCACCAAATTTATTATTATTTAAACTCTCTTAAGCATACCAGAGAGCCAAATGCAAAGCTCTGCAAACTGGCAAAGGCTTTTTATGGAGGGCTATAAATATTGTGGAATCTGTCAAGATTTATAAATTCTAAATATATGTAAATGCACATTTTACTGGAAGGGGTCAGATTTACACAAATCACACCTTCATTTGAAATTTACTGAAAAAATATGGTCACTTCAAAATCTACCAGCATGTAGCCATCTGCACAGTCATTAACTTGGATGCTACCACCTTCCTCCTGACAAAAGCATCTTCATCTGAGGTCAAGGGTATCAAAACACAGGGAATCAACTCTGCAGGATACACCAGAGTGAGTTATTAGACATTTGTATTAAGTCATGTTGAAAGATAGCATTTCTTCAACTTCACCATCGATGTGCAGATCTTCTCAGAGGGGGGATAGGGTGCTGAGACAGAGAGGGAGGCACAGCAGGTTGATTCTGGATAGAGGTGGATTGTAGCAAACCTGTCTTAGGTAGGAAATATACTTGGGGATATCTATCTAAAAAGCATTCATTCCGACATTCAGTAAAAGGTGTTGACAATAACCATCATTTATTTAGCACTTATGGGTCAGACACTTTACATACATTATCCTGGGTAATCCTTTCCTTTGCTACTTTACGGAAGAGAAAACTGAGGTATAGAGAAGTGTTATATAACTTGCCCAAGGTCATATAACAAAGTGGGTAAGGGGCAGAGCCAAGACCCATTTCTCCTGCCCCTGCCCTGACCTTGTCAGTTCCCAAGTCAGTGGTGTTACCTGTGATGCAACCCAGTTTTAGAAACAGAATTGGTAGTAGAAAGGAAGAGTCTAAGAGTTTTAGAGCCCTAGTGAGCATTATCATACATCTAAGATGTCTTGAAGTTATGAATCTTCCTTAGCTTCATGTAATACCTAGTTTCAGAACTTTTATTTAACCATGGAGCCCCTTTTTGCTTTAGTAACCCCTCCTTCTATGCCCTAGAAGTGGTGTTCTGGAGAACATCTTTTGAGATTCTCTGCTTTGTATTACTCTTTTAAAATTGTAAGCGTGTGGATGCCAGACAGCACTGCACAACTCATAGTTTTAGTCCTTTAATGAAGACATGGCCACACAAAGCACTCAGTCTCTGCTTTTGTTCCCCAAGGACACCTTACCACTGGGGCTCAGCAGGACAGCTGCCTTAGGATAAATTTTGCCATTTACATCAAATTGTCAGCCATCAAAATGCATGCCAGGACAAGGAGACAATTTTATTGCTTTGCACTGATCTGGTGCTTTAGGCACCTGAAAAATGAGAAAAAAAGTTTCATGCATGCAATAATTATTTATTGATTGCTCACTATACTACTATATTTAAGGCACTTGCCTTGGCTTTCAAGATGCAGTAGTAAACAAATCCAAGTCCTGGCTTTCAGCAGAGCTTCCATTTTAGTTGGGGGAGATGCACTAAACCAACAAATACATAATGTTTCATAATGCTACGTGGTGGTGGTAACTGCTCTGGAGAAAAATAAAACCAATTAAAGGGGAGAATGGTGTTGGGGGAGGGATACTGATGGTAATTTTATATTGGGAGGTCAGAGAAAGTCTCTCCTGGGTAGTGTGACATTTGAGCAGATTAAGAACAATTCCCAATTTACACCGGAGATGATCAGAGTTTGACCAGAATGACAGTTTCGTCCTTCATCCAACTCTACTCTTAGTGATAATTTCAGCAGCATAGCGATTTATTGAAATGGATGAGTAAACAAATCATTTCTAATGAGAATCTAGACCAAATGGCTGTAGATCCAAAAAAAACAAAAAATCAACTGAACCATTTTTATTTCATAGCCTCATGCTCTTTTAGGAGATTCATGATTTGATGACCATTAACATAACTTACTGAGAGACAATGATATTGAGAGAAAATTAGTGTGTGTGTGTGTGGGGGGGGAAGATTTCATTTTGGTCCCCTAGAAAAAAGCTTGCGTTTGTGGTGAGAGAGAAAGAAAAAAAAGAGAAAGCTGAAGAAGCTGAAAACCTTACTGTTCCTAGAAAGAGAAAGCTGGAGGAGAGATTATATGCTAAAATATTTCGTGTAAATATTTCACATGGGTGTGATCTGTAATACTGTTGTTACAGAGAATTATCAATATGAAAACAATTGCTGTTAAAAGGATTAGATTAATTAAAATTTCAACTACTTCAACCCCACCCTAATCCTTCCTAATACCATTAACAATGAATTTTATATAAGAAAAATTACTTTCCCCTACTTGTGAAAGCAAAGAACACTTCTTGCTGCTAAATCTAACAGATTCAGGCATTAGCAAGTGTAAGTAATTATTTTGTGGCCAGCAGGCAGCTTTAAATAGGTCTTAATTTAAGTCTTACAAGCAACAGATCCTTAACTGATTGTCTATGGACAAAGCAGAAAGTATTTATGACTGCGCTGATAATATTTACACCATTAAGAGATGCCTAAATAATTAAACAGATATTGCTGCTAAGTGTTTTTATAACAATTAGAAGATGAAGATTGTGATGCTTAATTTCATTAAAAAATGTTACTATTTTACCTCTGGGAGAATTGAAGTTAGTTATTAATTAGCACTTTGTAACCAAAGTGGAATGTTACTCTTCCTTAATGTGCTTTCAGAACTTAAAAGGATAAATAAAATTGGAGACATGTTTTTATTTTGTCTATTAATGGAATTACCTTCCTTTTGGCAAGAGATACTTTGACAAGCAGATCCTTTCAACAGAGATCTGCTAGACCTTTCAGAGTTAAAAAAGAAAATCCTGCATAAGCAGTATTAACATAATACTTGTGGTTCCTACCATTTTAAACTTACCCTTCCAAGCTCTACCTTACTGGCAGACTATTGGCAATGACAGTTGGAAATGTCGGGAATTCTCATAAGAGGTTTGCCACCGAATTGTACGTTATGTGCCAAGGAGGCATGTACTTACAAGTGCTGGTGAGAAGCATTTGGGTTAACACTTAGACTGATTGTGAAAAACAGTGAGACGGAGCTGCCTCACACCCATTTGCTTCTGGCGTGTCCTTGCTTGTTTGATCACTAAGTGACATTTAAAAAAAGACACATAGGTAAAGGAAGCAGAAATGGTATTCTGGGATAGCTCTCCCAACCTGTTTCCACTGTGACTTTGAAATAGATATTGCTGTTTTTGCCAGAGCAAGGCTATAAAAGGCTGAAGAAAGAGATGGCAGAGTCTACTGCTCATCTCTCAGAGAGATGAACCATGAGCACCATGTTTTAACTGCTGGACTAGGCTATCATCTTGAGGAGATGGCTTCCTTTTCTTCTCTTTCATTGGTGTAATTTTTTTTTTTTTTTT